GCAGCAAAGTAATTTCCGGAAAGTTAGATAATTTACCGGATGACCAAAAAGATTTCGGGTAACGAGTAGGTGTTCCAAAAATTATGAAAGTAGCTGTAACGGATACGGATAACGGATAAGGACATGGGATATCCGGATAAGCTAAACGGATATCCGGATCCAAGCACTACTATATATGTCACATACGTAACATTTAGTACATCAGCTAATCTAATTAAGGTACATATTTGTAGACTAAACAAAAATCTATGGACTAATAATAGGATATTGTACTACGTCGGAGTGCAGTATTTCCAGAGGGTCAAATTTGGCCTCTTACGTCGTACTATAGTTCCGATCTAATTAGCCGAAAGATCATGTGAACCCAAACTGGTACATGTTTTAAGGGGGCAAATATAGAAATCCCTAATCACAACAAGAATCATCCAATCAGATACAGAAGAGACACACCACTTAACTCTTTCTTCGTATTTCATACTCCATTCCTGGCATAACAAGTCGCTACTCGTCAAATTGCCATTAAAATAGAGTTTATACAATATCGATATCAATATATAAATGCAAATCTTTTGGTAACACTAATACAGTAATAACAAATGATGTATTAATCTGTATCGGTATCGGTATCATTCCATAACGGTTAAGATTTCGGATAATCGAGTTATTAAATTAAAAATCCGGTTTCAAATCTATCGATATATTACGCATTGTTTATTATTGTTCATTATGCATAAATATATTTAAGTGCTTTTTGCTACGATAGCTGATAACGATGTATTTGTCTATATTTAGGTGATTGTTGAGTCGGTTTATTTTATCATACGTATAACAAAGTATTTATACTTTAATCATTTGAAATCATCCTGAGTAACACGTACCTTTTGAAAAAAAATGTTTTTGTATTATGTTTATTTGTCGTTTAATCAGTCGATAGTACAATAAACAAAAAAAAAAAATTCTAATTACTAAATCAAGAATTATTAAATGATACGTATTAAAGTGTTTTTTTTTTCTAATCTAATCTTAAAATTGTATTAATTCCTTAACATATTTATTAACACCAACTAATTGTTTAATTACATAGACTAATTTTAATAATTCATTAATAAGATGACTTGTTTTTATCAAATAGGCACAATAACAAATAAATGCATGAGTTTCTAAGTCTTCTTTAGTTAAATCTGATGCTATCCTTCTAATCTTTCCTGATATCTTACTGCCTAATCCAACTTTTCCATATCTTGTATCGCCAGATGCAATTATATTATATGGTGGTAAAGGAACTTTGTTTTCCAATGCTGTCGATAGTATATGAAATGTTGTTAATATATGCGTTATATAATGACATTTGGTTGGATTGAATACATCTGCTAATTCTGTTTTCCATTCAGTTCCATTCAGTTCATGTAATATATGGTCTAATCCACCGACAAGGCAAACCATGTGTTCAACAATTTCTATAATCTCTTCATAGCGTTTGATTGGAAAGTTTCCACGAAGTGGTGGTTCATATTTTGTACGTGAGAGTAATAAACGTTCTATTGCTATTGAACGTTTTATTTTACTAAGTAGCTTACGGAATGATCTTGTTCTTGAAAAGGCCGTTAAATTGTCTTTTAATAATGATGATATTGTGATCGAATATAAAACGCATATGTCGGACATTGTACGTGCAAGACGTCTACGAACTTCAACTCGTCCTGTATGTGGCCAAGGTATCAAGTTCATAAAGAAAACTGATGTGATACCAACCCCTACGGCACATGTTCGCTATTATCGAAATATATAAAATGTATTTTAGCATTATCATAACATTATTAATTTTATTTTTATTAAATGTGACAATACAAACGTTTATTGCAATTCCAATTATTGATTCTTGAGTACTACTCATTCCATATTGGGACTGATAGACATTTGCAAGGACTAATGCAAAGTTGACCAACATAATAACACCACCGACTGTCCACACTTTTGCATTTAAATATATGAACCAGAGAAGCAGGGAAAATATAAAAAGTACACATGCGAGACCATAACTATTTCCATCCGTTATTTTCCATGCGATTATAGCCATCGAGGCTCCTACAATTGAGCCGATAAGACGACCAAAAAATTGAAGGACGGCTCCGCCGGTAGTAGGTGAAAATGAAACAACTGCACTAATAAGTGCCCACTATTTTATTGAAAAAAGAAACAATTTATGAGAGAACAAACAAAATACGCTAAAGAATAATGTATGAATCATTTCTCCTACCTGGCCGTGATATTTATTGAACCATACATAAGAATACGGTAAAAATGCCGGTAAGCACAATGCAGTAACCACTAAAGTATTTTTGATAGCAAATTTGGCGTAGATACTATTAAACCAATTTCTAATCATCCATAATTTATACCAAAATCGTTGACATGATGTAGTTGGAGGTGTTACATCGGGGTCAAATAATATTTCATTTTCGATTTCTTCTTTTTCGTCTTGTCTAGTGTTTGATTCAAAAAATTTCTCACACTCTTCTTCAGTTCCTCCTACGTCTCTTGTACGTTTGAAGAATGGTATTGGGGGAAGCCAAAATTTTTTCGATTGTCTTTGACTTCCCAACATTTTTATAGTTGCAACTAACAAACACAAATCTTCTGCAAATGTTTTAAGACTATTTTCAAAAAGAAGTATTAAAAGTAACACCCTTTGTGGTAAAGGACTGATAATTAATTTATCTTCAAAGAGTTTGTTTAGGCCTTCAACACGAGCGTTCTCAAATTTAGTTATAGCAGTATGAAGATGTCCTATGGGATCATCGATTACATTTTGATTATGACTTGGTGTAGGTTTAAGGCAAAAAGGCCATATCTTTTTATACCATGGTTCACGACAATTATGTTTTAAATGTTCAACACGTATCATAGAATCAGCCAAACACATTTGACATACTTCTGAAAGTTCTGTACAAATAGGTCGAATAATTTCTAAAAGTTTTGTCAAATCCTCTTCACATCCTGTTGCTGTTCCAACAGATGATGGTGACGGTAAATCATCAGTATAAGTATTTAATGTTACCTGATCAAAAATCGAAACATGATCACATTTATCTTCGATTCTAATCTCAATTGTTCCTTCTTGTCTATCTTTCATTAATTCCTCTTCAATCACCCCACTTAATGCCAATCCTTCTAATATCATATGTAAGGATTTTACAATTTTATTAATATCCAACAAATCTTCTGGTCCAATTTTTGAATATGATACTTCGTGTTGTGCATCCTTTTTGGCTATATCGAGGTTAAGGATATTATCATGTGCAATTCGATTAAGCTGTGAAATTGTATTTCGGTTATACGGACCACGAAGGAAAAAATTTGTTTCTTGTTCAAGCAAGTCAATAAAACTTTGAAGTGTCTTATGAAGACAAGGTATGTAATTAGTAGTAGCATTCTCTGGCCATAATGTTATATTAACTACAAATGAACAAGCGGGACCAATTAACATTGGTATAAGCAAACTTTTCTGTGAACATGATAAAAAGAATGGTAAAATGATAAATAGTAATAAACCAATATTAAAGATTCATTGACAGTTAAACATAACAACCTACCAGTATCTTATTTGTTTTACCAGGATTAACATATGATTGCGTCAAGCTAAAACTCATAATCATAATAGCATTGATTGCACCGTAACGCATGGGTTGCCACTTGATCTTATCATAAGATAAAATAAAAGTACCGATAGCCAAGAAAGATAAATTGACTAACATAGCAGGAATGCTAAATATCTTGTCACCACGGATTGCTTGAGATATTGTAATACCTAGAAAAGACCATAGTGTAGCCAAGCAGGCACCTACGATTCCCCAACCAGCACTCTATATTATAAACAAAAAGATTATTATCGAGCAGAATGTAGGATAATAATACATGGATTGTTTAAGTTGACTATTCACCTGCCATAGAGAACCGAATGTTCTTGAAGGTTGAAAGTAGCAGACCATCACGATTGCCAAGAAGGTAAAAGAGCCTAATTCCTGCATTGCAGGGACAATAAGGTCAATAACAAAGGCAAGCCAATAAGCAACAGCGGCCTTAAGGACTTGCTTTGCCATAGGCCAAGTTGCTTTTGCCGATATGCCAACAAAGATAGGTTTAAGTAATTTATACCAAATATCGGAAAATCTTGGCGTTAGTTTAGGTGGGTCTTCAGATGGTCTGTTATCATTATTGTTGTTCTGACTAGGTTCATCAGGAAGTCCCTTTTTAAACGCTTCCGCGTAAAGATGAGCATTAGTAACGGCTTTGTATAGTTCACTATCTGCAGTCAAGGTTAATTCGTTATCATATTCTTCTGGCTCATTAATATCTTCAAGATGTTGAGAGACTTCTGCTACTGTTTCAATCGATAATGAAGAACGGGACCGTTCTGGTAGGATCTTATTTTCTAAATTATTTGCCATAAGATGAAATATTTTACTCTTTTTTCTTTCTTTTTTTTTTTTTTTTTTTTTTTTTTTTTTTTTTTTTTTTTTTTTTTTTTAATCTTTATTAAATCTATATAAAAAAAAAAAAAAAGAAAAAAAAAGGAGTGAGGTAGAATAGATTATGGATATGCATTTTAAACACTATTGAAACTTGCGGTATTTTTCATGTGATACACTCATAAACAAATCTGGATCACCAATCCTATCGCATTATTTAAAATGATTGTATTATTTTAAATAATATATGCTAGAAAGATAACAGATAACGATTAGGATAAAATTAAAAAAAAAAAAAACTTATGCGCGTACTGCAATTTAGGTTTCACAATGATTACAGATTTAGACGATCGTTTTCTTTATGAAATGGGTTGGCTGAGGCGGCATTAAAACTTAACTAACTTAACTAATTAACCCATTTCCTTATTCAACTTGGTAAAATTTCAGTTAAACCGGATATTGATAATAAATATTTTACAAAATTATAATGAGTTACGATTACTTTTATAAGGCGTCAAAATTAACAAGGGTTTATTGTTGTTCACATGCGTGGAAAGACCAAATAGAAATAAGGCTTAACATGCATATCTATTAATCAAAGCTTACAATTGTTCAATCCCGAAAATCTTTTACTGAAAAAAGAAATCGAATAAATAGTTCATTTAAACACTTATTTCTCTACGATTTTAAAAACTTCAATCTCCTCAATATTAAAATTATTCGTATCTAAAATACTATCTTCATATGAATACTTATTGCATGCACCATTGAAATTATTCAAAACTAAGTCACTCTGACCAAAGTGAGCACCATTATTAGCATAATCATAAACTGCATGTTGATGATTGCAAACACGGCTAACCTTGTAATCATCACTTGATTTGCCATTGCCAAAAGAAAAGATAAAGCTATCAAAAGTATTTGCCCAAGTAGGAAAACTTCTATAAATCCAACCGCACGGATTATAACCACCAATTATTTGTTCTGAACCTTTAACTTTGACAATAACAACAGCTGATCCTTGATTATTGGCATAACTACGAAATACACTGTTGTTAAATCCATGAAGACTTCCACGATAGAGAAGCGTAAATTCATAAGGAATCACTGCCGTTATACCTAATTTCCCATCAACTCGATTGATCCAGTTAGCGATGATAACTGCATGTTTTGGTTTAATTATCACAGAATCAATTTGCCAATGTCCCATCCTTGGGGCTAAGTTTGTGATTGTCTTTGGTTCAGTATCCGCCAGATAATGAGACATGAGATCTTCATATATATTCTGAGGAAGTATTTTCTTGTATGGTCGAACTTTATAATAAAAATCTTTGGATGAAATTTCGAAAAGTCGGATAAGCGGAATGAACTGTTCAACCGATTTCTTTAAGGCAATAAAATGTTTATCCGTCCATTTATTAACATCACTAGGCATCTTAGCATCATTTGAATTAACATTTTGTGCAATTCCCCACTTGATTAGGTGTTCCCAAACTTCTATCTCGTCGATCTCTAGGTCTTCCCGTTCAAGAAGTCCATAAAGAATATCTCTATCCAAAGATGAAAAAATTTTTGATGAAAAAAATGGTTGAGGATCTTGACAAATGGTTTTTAAACAATGGTCTTGAAGTTTTTTACAGCTTTTAAGTTTAATGACAGTTTGCAGGACTTGCACAAAATTTAACCTCAACCAATTGGCTTTTTCTTCGATTAAATGTTCTTGACAGTGAACAATTAATTCATCGAGGAGTAACTCGTCGGATGCAACTAAAAGACCAAGAATATCTGGTCCAGATTGCTTATCTAAGTCAAGAATACCTGTATAAATATATCTATTTTAATATTGGTTTTAAAAATTCAGATTATTTTAATTAATACTGTTTTTTTTTTGGTTTTATTTATTTATTCTAATTGTACCTAATATTTCTAACATTATAAGAATATATAATTTTGTGTTAATTAGAAAACACATACTTGAGCATCATTGCAAAAACCATTGGTGAAACATTGGGCTTATTAAATATAATATTATTATCTTTTTTTACAACCCAATCGCTCGAAAGTGCTCTTTTGAAATAAGGAGACCTGGCCATCAAAATATTCGAATGAGCTCGAAACTCTTTAATACTTGAGCCTTCTCCAACTTGGATACTAACATTGTAATCATCTGCATTATCAAGGAGTTGCGAGAGATCTTGCGATAAATTAGAAAAAAATTGAGATGGCATAATCGAAAAAATTCGGTTTTTTTCCTCTTTTTGATAAATCTCGTAAAAGAGGAACAATATTTATGCAAAACATGTGTGAGCACTTCTATTTATATATAAAATTTCATGTGATTGTCACATGATCAAATTTTGATCTGCTGATTTTCCCGGTCGAATCTACATATTACCTCTAGAACCCACCAGAAATTAAAGACTCGTTATTTAATTCGAGAAATATATATAAATTGATGTAAATTATATTTTAATAATAAGATAACGTTTCATTAAAATTCAATTAAATAATGATATTACTGATAGGGATGGCAAAAGTTTTATATACGTAATTAAAAACAGGTGATGATAAATTAAAAAACAGGTGATCATTATTTGATCCAGTATTCAGACTTTATTCATCACATGTTTTAAACAGGTGAAAAAGTGTTTTAAACTGTTTTTTTTTACCATCCCTAATTACGGATGTATAAAACGAATAAGTGATATAACAGACTTTAAAACTATTTATTATAAATTCATTATGTCATATAACAGACTCAAAAATTCTAAAAATATTGAATACGTATCGGTATTATATATGAGTGATGGAAAGGGAAAACATGTAAATCATTCTTTTAATAATAAAAATTTTTTAACAATTATTATTTTAATATCATTTGAATCGTCTTAGTAAAATGATTCGAAAAAAAAATTTAAATCAAGTAATTTAACATTTATTATTTTAAATCGTCTTAATGAGATGATTCGAATAATATCGATATTATAATCTTAAATATTCATTACGGGTTTTCTCTCATATCGATAGCCAAGTTTTTTGTAATATCTGATAGGTCAGAGAATATGAAAAATATTCGGAGAAGCAAAGCCTTAAAAAAATTTATAACAGCCACACTAGATATTACAAGGCTGTGTTTGTTATTTTTGATAAGATTGCGACCAATTTAATTGGTCAATTTTTAAATCGCAATTTTGTTTAGAATAAATATACCGTACTGACCTCAAACTAACGCTTGCGTCAGATTACATCTGACAAGTATTGGAAATTTAATGTTCTCAACGTTGTTGAGATATTAAAATATTTAAAGCATTAAATTCTTTAATGATTAATATAGTTATAGTAATTGCTGTAAAGTAAGCTGTTTTACCTAGACTTCTAAGCTATCCTATCTTCTTAGAATTATATAAAAATTAGTTCTGTAAAATTAGTTGTAAAGAATTTTTGACTAATTTAATGTTACTATATAATTATATTATTTTATAACTTTTTTAGACAAAAATAGATGAGAGCTAACTTTTTAGATAAAAAAAAATTACAAAAAAAAATTTTTAAAAAAAATTAAATTTAATTAATATCTTTCTGAATTTAAAAGTTTAAAGCTTGTTATTACACAAGTAAGTAGCTAGCTATAAATTTAATAAAATTAGAGAATTTTTATTGCTATTCGCACCATAGATAATATAGATCATCTCAATTTTATCACTTTAATATTTACAAATTCTTTAAAACTTTGATCAAGAAGATCTTGAAAACTATTTGATAAAAAATTTTTTATTTGAATTCTATAAATCTATAGAATTCAAACAAAAAATTTTATCTAATTTGGTTAAGTAGTTGTTGAGATATCTTTAATCAAATTTATAATAATAATTTTGGTATAGCTTCTCGATATAATAGATGTTTTAAAATTTTTTAAAACTTTAATCAAGGATATTTTGACAATTACTTGACCAAATTCAATTAAATTTTTTTATTTGAATTCTACAGATCTGTAGAATTCAAATAAAAAAATTCATTGAATTTGGTCAAGTAGTTATCAATAAATTTTCATTCAAGTTACAATAACAATTTTAGTACAGCTTCTTTATATGTTAGTTATTTTGAAAATTCTTTAAAACTTTAACCAAGAATATTTTTATAATTACTTAAAAAAATTTAATAAAAAATTTTTTATTTAGATTTTACAGATCTATAGAATTCAAATAAAAAATTTTTTATTGAATTTAGTCAAGTAGTTGTTAAGATATCTTTAATTATAGTTATAATAATAATTTTGGTATAGCTTTTCTATATAATAAAAGTTCTAAAAATTCTTTAAAACTTTGATCAAAGATATCTAGACAACTACTTAGCCAAGTTTGATAAAAATTTTTTATTTAAATTTTATAGATCTGTAGAATTCAAATAAAATTTTTTTTATCAAATTTGGTCAAGTAGTTGCTAAGATATCTTTGATCACATTTATAATAATAATTTTGATGTTTTAAAAATTTTTTAAATGTTTGATATATTCTAAATTCTTAAATATTTTAAACTCTTTTACTTTACTCTTTTTTGTTTCTTTTTCTATTTTCTCTAGAGACTCTTTATTAAAGATATATTATCTTTTTTCTTTACAAAACTTGAAATATTTTGTACTTCTTTAAGTACTATTTTTTGCTTTTAACTATCTTTTTCCAGTTTGTATTTTTTTTTTTTTTTTT